AGGACCTCTGCCCAACCCAAAGCGCCTCTCGTCGACTCCAAGACGTTCAATAATGGCGATGCCATCGAATTCAAGTTTTGCCCTTACGGCAAGTCTTTGAATGACTTGAAGAAGTTATGTGCCAAGACGTGCAAGGAGCATGCTCCCCATATGGAGCAGCTTCTCTTATTTAGTGATATTGCTCCGTCTTTGACTTGGAAAGGTGTGGTAGGTTGTACCAAAGTGGTCCTCAATGACCACAAAGGCTGGTTCAAACTAGTTGACTTGCTTGAAAAGTCCAAGAAGAAAAGAGGGTCGGTTATGATCCTTAATGAGAACAAGAGTTTGTTGGCGCAAAAGAACGCCAAGGTGAGTTTTTGGTCTTTTGAATTTTTTTTGTGCTTCTTTCACTTTTATTTACTTGTTTACCAATCTTTGTCTTCATTTTATCGCATCTTCCAAAAGGTGAGTGCGGCCAAGAAATTGATTGCCACTGCCGCTGGGTCTGGCGGCGGAATTCCAGATGTAGAGCTTAACGCCCGATTGGAAGTGAGTACATGCCCAAGATCTTATGATTCTCTTGTTCTGACCACTGATCTTTTACATTTGGTGACCAGGCTTCTGAGAAATTGGTCAAATTGCACGAGACCACTGCGGCGCTTTACCACCAGCATGCTGAACGTTCCAAGGCTGGCGATGGTGTCGTCCCCGTGGCGCCTTGGGACCCATTGTTTCATTATTGATTCACCATCCGTTGTGCCTTTGAGTGGGCAAAAGCCATCGTAAGTCACCTCACAATGCCTTCTTCCTTGAACCAGGAATATCACTGACAGATCTTTATATACTTGATGTTTAGGAGGCCAACCTCACCACCATGCATATGGTGCCCGACACAAAGGAGTATCGTGCCGAGATGGCTAAATCCCGGGTGTTCCATCGGTTGTTGAATGTTCGAGACCGCGTTAACCTACGCCTAGGTGCACGTAGGGAAGCCCGTTCAACTCGGTCCTTTTTTGGAAAGGTTCCAAAGGCTTCAACTAGCCCGACTCCACCAGGAGGCCAAGCAAACTGCCTCGTCATATCCTCATCTGAACCAGACGTCATACCCGACTCCAAAACCAAAAGAGAAGTCAAACGAAAAGGCGAGACAGCCAAGTTGAAGAAGTTGTTATTCAAGAAGGATAATGGTCAGCTTTCATCTCTTCTCGTCTATTTCATCGTGAAAGCTGGTCTGATTTGTGATTCCACTTTGCAAATAGATATGCCTGATATGGGATCCAAGTCTACTATTCCTGAAGCATCTGGGAATGTTGAGTTGACGAAGGTGGGTTCCAAGCCCACTATCAATGGTGGATCTACTAATATCGAATTCAAACCGATCTTGGAAGGGAAGCCTAACTTGCCCAAATCGCAATATGGTAAGTGTTCCTAGAAATCGTCTCATTCCTGTTCCTCTAACTGGTCTTATTGATTGGATGCTGATGTTTCTTCCCCTTGTTCGGTGTCTTTAGTTACTGGACGATCCTTTGGAGATACCATTGTATTAGACAATGCTGATGACTCATCTGAATCTTCTGATGGCATCGGTCTGGATGTGATAGCCTCTCATGAGGCAGCTCTGGAAAATTTTATCTACACCAGTGGTGTACCACCTGAAGATCTCAACACCCATTTTGGGTTGGCCGAAGCCGGTGTTGAGTCTTGGACTGACCTGATCCCCTCCCTTCAAATGACTGAGGGGACTTTGGTTTTCCACGGTGTGAAGAAGTAGCAGGTCGTCTCCTTGCTGCAGCCCAAGCTCGATACTTCCGCATGCAAAACTGAACCGTACGTATTTTACCTCTCCCTCTTTTATGATAAACTTAACTGAAGTTTCATCTTTCTTTGCTACCGTAGACTCAGTTCCTTCCTTGACTTGCTTATCTATAGTTAGATATCATCTCGCAACCCCAAATCAAATCACATTAATACTTCCTCGATATCTTCTTACCTTTTTCTGCTTAACTTGTTATCGAATTGTTTTTCCTTGAGATGCTTATCTCGTTTTAGATATCATCTAACACAAGATGATCTCTTGTGTCTAACAATCACTGCGTATTGGTCTCTTCTTATTACTGCCCGGTTATCTTGTTATCGATGTCTAGCTGTCTCCACAAAAACATTAAATACCAAAAAAACTTGTTTTCTAACCTGTGATACTGAGTTCTGTTTTTCTGCTTATCTGCTTACCTGATTGTCCCGAAATTAGTTCCTCTTGACTAAAATATGTGATTTTGAATAGTCTCCGGTTTGTCGTTTCAACCGTATTATCAAGTCGTCTAGTTATCCTGTTATCTGCCTCTCACCCAGAATGTTTATTTGTTTGCAAATTGTGACTCTGCGAAATTGTCTTCCCCTTGTGAAAGAAATGAAAGGAAGCTCGCCCGCACTGTTTGATTGATTTAACAAGTTCCAAAAACTTCCAACAACTGCCTCGTGACCAAAAGACTCTTCTACTCTAGTAGAAGAGTCATATTTTAAAGATGAGATTTCAATCTAACACTGCGAGATATCAATCTCGGATAACTTTGATGTCCAGCTGCTGAACTTGATCATGTCCTCATGATCAATGCTAGAACAATGATATAATTTTAGGAAGGTCACATGAATATGAATTGCCACGTGGCTTCAAGGAAGCTATGTGGAAGTGTATTCATAGTTTCAAGGCAAAGGGTCACATTTCCAAAAACCGGGAAAAGACAAAGCTCAAGAAAAGAGGAAAAGCACAGAGGCTGATAACACGATATGATTTCAAAGCCTCACAATCTTCAAAAACGGGAATAGACAAAGGTTAAAAAAACACCAAGAGACACTGATAACACGATATAAAATCAAGGCAGTGCAATTACAAGAAAAGGAACACACTGAACACACTCGAGATCAAGCACCCAAATCACATCTGTACGCTCACAATCCTATACTCAGAATATCTCATGTAAAAGTCAAGAACCAAACAAGTACCACAGACCCTTCACGCTGACAAACATATATTGAGTGTATCAGATGTACCCACATCCTCGAAAAAGAGCTTCAGAAAGAGAGTCAGTCATCAGAAGCATACAGGTATGGAATATCACAGCCTTCTCCTCGTCTTCATTCAAGGCATGTTGAAGAACTTGAGACCTTCTTAAGCGCGCCTTCAAAACGGAGAAGGCTTTCTCGATCGGGTTAAGATTGGGACTATAAGCTGGTAGATAAAGTAATTGAACCCCTCGAGCCTCACAGAGCTCAGCCACTCGCCCATTGTGGTGGATGGGCGCGTTGTCCATCACCAACACACTGTTACGTGCTGGCCAGGGGTTCATAGCAGGTAACTGCGTTGAGAAGATGGCGCAACATTAGCTTGAGTATCAATCGAAGCAAAATAATCAATTTTAACTTACTAGATGATGTTCCAAATAGTCCTCAAAGTCGATTCTTGAGTAGCCACCAGCCTGGACCTTGCAAGTGATCACTCCGTCTAACGAGATCGCTGGTAATACTGACCAAAAGGTGGCTCTGGTAGGTCTATTGAGCCGATTTGTCCTTTGTCCAACAGGGGCGCGCGCATAGTCTCGAAACAGTCTACGTTTGGTGATCGCACTTTCATCTGAGGCAATGCAAAGTCAGATATCATCATATCGTGAAATAAAAAGGAATATAAAAAATAAATCAAAATACAAACCAGTGAATACTAGACACCTAGGATCAATATCATGCACAGATTGTATGTAGGCACCTCGTGCCGCCATTGACTGATTCGGATGGACAGTACGAGCCTTTTTCCTCGTCCAGGCTAATCGATTGCGTAGCTCTTTTGAGAGAGTCGTAGTTGAGACTTGAAGTCCAAACGTGTCTTCAATTTTAGATTGAAGCTCATCGAGATAGAGGGTTGGGTCTACATCGAGAGAATCTATCAAAAATTTTTGTTCACCAGCCCCTAGCTTTGTTGGGGCCCCTCGTTCCATATGATCGATGGGGTTTGTGACCACCGCTTGTGTGGTGAGGTACAGATTGTACCAACGTTGGACCGAGGTGAGGGACAATTGAATGCCGATCGTCTGCATAATGTCATGAAAGCGCATTCCTCAAAGGACCATGCCAACGACCAGCATCTTGACTTCGGCGCTGTGAGCAGGCATCTGAATAGGAGAATAACATAGATATGAGTGAGCAGGTTCGAAAGACCTCAAAAAGGCAAATGTAAAACAAACCAGGACGCAAAAGAGGGAAACTTTTTGGAAATCTTCAACTACTGGCTGAGGAAAAACGATTGATAATGGGAGGAAGGGGGAAAGTGAAAGGGGGGAGGGGGAAAATTCAAGAAACAAAATCTGGACCCCGATGCCCAATGATGCAGAGCCTGGTTGTGCTTTGATGGAAACCGCCCGTCAAATTGCCGCTTCCATGGAAGGCCCACGTCAGTAGACGTCAACAAGGGATAGAGAGGCTGGAATGACAGCTCACTCACGGTAAAAAAAAAGAAGGTTTTTTTCGAGTTTTAACCCTTTTGGACAAGATCCCTCGGTGAGTCTTTTGGCTCGAAAGTGCCATTAATTCCTTCAACGGCTGTATTTCAAAAGCAGGAATACAGACTATTTCACAACATCATAACACTGCGAAGATAATGTATTTCTCCAAGGTGCAAAATGATTACATTTAATGCACAAAATGATTAATAATGTAGAATTAATGCAGAATAATGCAGAATTAATGCAGAATTAATGCAGACTTAATGCACTTTTAATCATTTTGTACATTAAATGTAATCATTTTTCACCTTGGAGAAATACATTATGTTCACAGTGTAAGCATCGCAACATACATACTATTACTAAATCACACAAATGTTGTCAAAATATATTATAGTGTATTTGAAATCACAACATATACAGTTACAAGATCACAAAAATATCGCATCATGGAGTATCATCACTCACTGGTGGTGTGAATGAATCTTTCGCCATTTATTCTCTTCTTTCCGCAAAATCTTACAACATACATCAATTGAAAAATCTGCTGGCGGAAACGGTAGCCACATTTTGGGGTTGCTGAAAGATGCGTTACTATTACCAAGACGGGCAGCTGATACCCTAGCTGCCCCTGAATACACATCAGCATGTGAGTAAAGTGCAAGAGATATGCGAAGGGGTGGAGTTGACCCTGAGAGTGCAAGAATCGGGCTGACAGCATGATCGAGAAATTTGAAACGACCATGAGTGGAATAGCCAGGATCACCACACACACTGACCCCAAGGCTTCCAAATACCATGCGGCCCCCAGTGTATCCTTTGCCGTAGATGAAGACCGAGTCTAAAAGATCTGAATTCTTGCCGTCTTGGTGGGGTGCAACCTGCATATTGTAATTGATTTGGCGCTGGAAGAACGTAAGACAGATCAGCTCACTGCCACATTTCGCCTGACATTGGAATTACTTACCTTGTACGATTTTATTGTGTAAACCCTTGATTCTATCAGAAAGCATAGCACTCGAGTTTTTTTGAATGAAGCTGACAGCGTGTTCAGCAACCTCATAGGTCTTGGGCTGCACAGCCGCATTAAGAGCCCTGGACACTTCGTAAGGCCAGTGCGATTCCTCCGCCAATCTAGCATTTTCAATGAGTTTAAAAGACTTTCTTCACCCAAGCCCATTACTACAGGTAGATAGCGGCTAGAAGCTGGGCCTTCACCTACATCGTCTAGAGTGTAACCTTGACGTTCCAGGCCCAGTTGCATTTTGGTGTCATGTGACGCTTCAGGCTACAGAAACATATAGTTATCACAGTCATTGGGCATTTTATAAACGTCCTTCCGCAGGAAAGGTTGTACATACATCCCAAGGGGTATCCAAAAGCTTCATAAGGCAATGAGCCATAAACTGCACCCAATATTGGCACAGGTGAGTTTTTGGCTTTCAAAAGCCGAGGTTGAATGTCCGTGTAGCTGGGTATGTTGCTGACCGATTCGTGTCTTGATGCTTCATATGTGGGAAGCGCATGCAGGCGAGCCGCTCCTTCGAAAGCCTTCAATACTTGTTCCAGATTTCCTGGTAATTAGATAAACAATTTCACAATGTTCGACTTGATAGTGTGAATTTACCTAACTCAGAACTCATGTCTTTGGTCTTTTTGGGGCCTATTTCAATTGTCATACCTTCTTCCACCTCCGATGGTGCCTGAATATCAAACACAGTTAGATGAACAAATTCCAAAAGTCCAAAAAGTTGGTGTAAAGTTACCTACCTCAGAACACCCATATTTTTTCTTGTGATCATCGCCTTTCTTCTTCATTGATTTGGGAGGTAGATTTATGAGGAGCAACCGACCAGCTGAGTCAACAACTATAACTGCCTTATTGGAACGTAGAGCACGGGGAGACTTCGATCGTTCCTTGGTGAGTTGATGGAGCGCATGAATATTGGGATACCTGAGGCCAAAAGGAGGCTCAGAGGCCGGGTCCGCAAGGTGAACTTCGATGGTGTGTTTGATATGTAAAGCGCAAGTTTGAAGATCGTGCTGGCGGCTGGTGAGAGCTCAAAGAACTTCGTAGTCGTGGATGATTGTATTGACTGACTTCGGTATGTTGCCAAGTTTCAAATGGCCTGTTTCCTCTAGGAAAAACGCTACGGCTAGGTCGTAATCAGTGACCACCATTTCAGCGTTTTGAATCATCTGGCGGAGGTATTGATTGACTACACCACTTAGCACGCAGGTGTCATCATACAGATGACCGGCCTTGTTAGGTTGAAACTCGTCGTCTAGATGCGGATTTCGGGGCTTGGCTTTGGCTTTGGCCTTGCCTTTGGCTTCGATGCAGGCCCTTCGGTCAGAATCAAGCAGAAAACAATATACATTCGACTCGAGGTACATACCACTGGAGTAAGGATGTGGCGAAGACTTTCGAGCTGTGCTGTTGCTTTCCTTAGCTTTCGACCTGACAGGCGGCATGACAGGCTGCTGGGTATGAGAGAAGAAAAAAACATCAGAGGTTCATATCTTTCACAACACAGATATCATCGGTATGATTAAGCCAAAGAAGGTGGTGGGATGGGCATCGGATTGGTTTGAAACCTGTCAATCCCAATCTATCTCATGTGATGCCCATCTGCTGGGGAGGAAGCTGCCTGAATCCTGTCAGAGCGCCCCAGAACCCCCAGCAGGAAAGAAGTATGATATTGATGAAATGAATGTTAGACGATGAAAAAGTAAGAAGGAATATAACCTGGTCGATCGAGATGGCTGGAGTGGTGAGTGTTTGTGTTTAAGAGACCTGGATGGAGTGGTTATATGAGGTAGAGTATTGGTCGCGTTTGGATGGATCATTTCATTTGATGTCATGTTGCTTGAGTGGCTCAATTTGAATGTTGAGTCCCTTGAGTCGCCCAATTGGAAATGGTCCACAGCACAGTTGCTCAATTTGAATGTCGAGTCGCTTGAGTTGCTCAATTTGAATGTCAAGTCGCTTGAGTTGCTCAATTTGAATGTTGAGTTGCTTGAGTCGCCCAAATGGAAATGGTCCACTGCGCTGTTGACAGCAAACCCGCGGGCAATAATGCAGTTCAAAGAAAACACGCGACTGATAATGCTGTTCAGAAAAACGCTTACCAAACTCGCGTCTGATAATGCTGTTCAGAAAAACGCTTACCAAACTCGCGTCTGATAACACAGTTTGGTTGAAGACGTGGATACTGTGTGTTTGAATTATGCAGTTTGGTTGAAGACATGGATACTGTGTGTTTGAATTACGCAGTTTGGTTGGCTCGCACATGTGTGGTATTTGTCATTGTTGTTTTGTAACTCAATAACTTTGCAACAGAGGATCAAAGTGACACATTTTGTAAGAGGACATTGGTGAAACATAGACAGCACACACATTTGAATTTTAATTATTTATTGTAATTAGATAAGCCGAAATTTCGCGGGTATGCGGGATCAATGATAACCTTGGCTATTGATTTTCCTCTTCATTGTTTGCCTCCTGTAGCAATCTAGGGTCGCCAGCTTTTACAATCAAGTACGTTTTTCCGTTCACAGCATTAATCCATGTTTCAACTTGCTGCCCCGTTAGCTTTCCAGCGGCTGCACCTCTAGAAAGCATCTCATCAGTTACCTCGCAACCTGGAAGTCGTAATGTGAATGTCTTGAAGTCTGAAAACACGGGTTATAGGAATAAGACCTAATGAAAAGCACGGTGGCTTTGATAAGTACGCTAACAACCAACAAGAAACTAATTGAGGTCTTCTGACCTATAAGCAGGTTCAGAATAACAGGTTAGATCTTGTTAGTTCAAGTTATCTCAAGGTTGATAACTGATCTTTGGACTAGCAAAAGAGACACGGAATTAGTCTGAAAACACGGGTTATAGGAATAAGACCTAATGAAAAGCACGGTGGCTTTGATAAGTACGCTAACAACCAACAAGAAACTAATTGAGGTCTTCTGACCTATAAGCAGGTTCAGAATAACAGGTTAGATCTTGTTAGTTCAAGTTATCTCAAGGTTGATAACTGATCTTTGGACTAGCAAAAGAGACACGGAATTTCTCTTCCCAAAGATATAAATTTCTATTCACCTAATGAAAAGCACGGTGGCTTTGATAAGTACGCTAACAACCAACAAGAAACTAATTGAGATCTTCTGACCTCTAACATCAAACAAGTTGTTAGATAAAAGTTAGAAAGAAAGAAATAGAGATATTATGATAAGTACCTATAAGCAGGTTCAGAATAACAGGTTAGATCTTGTTAGTTCAAGTTATCTCAAGGTTGATAACTGATCTTTGGACTAGCAAAAGAGACACGGAATCTGAAAGATAGAAAGTGAGGATAGAAACAAGTCATATACATATGTTAAATGTTAATTGAACTTGATCATTCATTTTAGTGAAAAAGATAAAAATGTACGTACTTCTCTTCCCAAAGATGGGGAAAAGAGAAGTACTCGAACACAGAGGTTTGTATATAAGAAAGGAAAAATTAAAGTGAAAAGCAATTGGGGCAATGTTAATGATGATCTTATTTCTCATCTGATAACAAGAGAGACTTGTCTGATAATGAAGCTTGCTGTGCTTCTTTCTGGTCTGCGGAATACTGCATTGATCTTGTGAAGTGATTTGTTCAAAACTACTGTTTTCTCTTTTCGTCGATTGGAGTTTTCAACACCCGCCTTCAATCGACATAATCAAAAGATACCTAATCACTGACATGTTTGAGACCTATTTGATCTCTGAAAAAATTGAACGGGCCAGGATGTAAGGGCTTTGTGAGGATGTCGGCTACCATGTCTTCAGACTTGCAGTGCGTCAACTTGATGACCCCATCATTTACCTTCTCTCGAAGCCAATGAAAATGAATTTCGATGGCCTTTGTGCGACCGTGTAACACCGCGTCCTTGGATAAGTCGATCGCGCTTAGGCTGTCGCAGTTTAAAAGAAAAGGTGTAGGTTGAGTGAATCCAATTGAGTCCATAAAGCGTGCTAGCCAGATCATTTTGTCTCCTGCCTCGTTTGCTGCTCTGTATTCCGCTTCCGTGGACGATTTGGCTACCGTTTGTTGAAGCCTGCTTCTCCAACTTATAGCTCCACCGCAAAACAGAAATACATAACCTGTGGTTGACCTACGGGTGCTTTTGTCGCCTGCCCAGTCAGCATTGGCGAAGTGTTGAGGGAGTGCATAGCCATTGTTGCTTGAGACGTTAGTAGTCGAGGTGTTTTTGTAGTGAATGCAGTGATTGATTGTTCCCGCCAAGTATCTGAGAACGTGTTTGAAGGCCTCCCAGTGACGCAGAGAGGGTTTATGGAGATGTTGCGATAGACATCCCACGGCATAGGTGATATCAGGGCGGGTACATTGGGATAGGTACATGAGGCTTCCCACACCGCTGTTGTATGGAAGGTTGAGGAGGCTGAAAGATCGAGCTTCATCGTCAGTAGATTTGGTGAGCTTGGTGCCACCGGGAAAGGGTGTGGAAGCAGCCTTGCATTCGGTCATACCAAATCGTTCAAGAAGTGATTGGGTCATTGCCTCCTGACCAATGATGTAGTGGTTATGAGATGCTCGGACTAGTTGGATACCGACAACGCACGTTGAGATTCCTTGATCCTCCATTGGCCAGAACGTACTGATTTCATTTTTGAATTCCTGGATTTTGTTTCCGGTGATGGCTAGATCATCGACATGGAGGTAAAAGAGACATACTTCATTTTTTCGCTCTCGGATATATACGCACTCATCGGCCGGAGATTGTTTGAATCCTGCTTTGATGCATTTCTTCTTGAAGTCATCGTTCCAATCTCTGGCCGACTGCTTCAGTCCGTAAAGGGCCTGATCAACTTCGCAAACAAGATCTTCATCTTCACCTCCTATCTCATATCCTTCGGGCTGCTCCATATAGATTTCTTCTTTTAACTTGCTATTCAAAAATGCCGCAATTGCATCCATGGAGTGTATTTCGTAACCGTGATAGGCTGCAAAGGCGACTAACGCGCGGAACGCTGAAGGCTTGCCCGTTGGTGCGAAGGTGTCAGTATAATCAATTCCGTATGTTTGCGTATAACCTTTTGCAACAAATCGTGCTTTGAATTTGTTGATAGTGCCATCGGGGTTTAATTTAACTTTGAAGTGCCATCGACTTCCCACCACAGGTCTATTGGATGGTCAAGGTACCAAATGCCAGACTTTTCGATCATTCATGTTTTGAATTTCTTTATCGCAAGCAGCCTTCCATTTTTCACGGTCGGAACTATTCATTGCGGACTTAAAATTGTGGGGTTCATTAACTAATCTGACCATGGACCCAACAGCAAAGGCGCATGGAAAGTAATTATGCAAGTCCATGAAGGCACCGTCATCGTCCCAGTAGGCAAAACTTGCGGAAGGGCGATAACGATCAGGTTGGACACGCTCTCTTGTTGAGCGGCGAGGTTCGTCTTGAGGCACTGGCTCGATAGGTACAGTAGGTTGATGATCTTCGATATGAAGGTTTAAAAGAGGCTGAGTGATGTCTTCTTCCTCGTCCTGGTGCATTCCTTCACCACCAGGGTCTTGGACGTTGTCATTGATATCCTCGATTCGAGGATTATCAATGGAAGGATCCGGTAATATAGCGTTGTCTTCGTCTTCAAATGAAAGGTGAGAAAGATCAAAGGTTTTCATTTTCTTGAGAGGAAAAATTGTTTCACGAAAGATGACGTTGTGAGAAGTTACGATGGTATTTGACTCAATGATGAACACATCATAATTGAGGTTGTGCTCGGTGTGGCTCAGCAGTATTGCTTGGCGTGAGACGGCCTGAAACTTACCACCTCGAATAGCCTTGCGTACGAGAACATAGCACAAGCACCCAATTGGCTTGACGTGGCTGACATCAGGCTGCCTGCCATTCCAGAGCTCAAAGGGTGTTTTACCCACAGGGAGAGATGAAGAAATGGTACGATTCTTGAGATAGACAGCTGACTTGATTGCGTAGATCCAAAATTTGATGGGTAAGTTAGCTTCAAGCATGATAGCTCTTGCAGGCTCTGTGATAGTCCTATTCGAACGCTCAGCTACCCCATTCTCTTCAGGGGTATAGGTGGCCGTGGTCCGAAGATAGATGCCTAACTCATTGAAGTACGGAACCAGCAAGCTGTTGATAAACTCATAGCCGTTATCGAGTGTAAACATTTTGATTTTTGAATTGCATTGACGTTCAACCAGAGTGATGTATTGTTTGATCTTATTAAACACAACATCTGCTGACTTTGTATTCAACCCCACTACATGCCGATACCTTGAGTAGTCGTCTGTGAAAAGCATGAAATACATACTTCCATCAACAGCGCTAGTTCTGACAATGCCGCTAAGATCAAGATGGATATTTTCTAACAGATGTAGACTACGGACATGAGTTTTATTGTGAGGAACGCGATGAGCTTTTGAGAGATCACATGGGATACAGTGTAAGGTGTCAGGAATAGAAGAAGATTTAATGTCCAATCCTTTAAGACTACCGTGTACAACCATGGTTTTCATGTATCAAACGTTCGGATGACCTAGACGGCGGTGTAGATTAAGAATGTTGACATCAGTGCTTGCCGTGGTGACGCTTGCTTCAGGTGCTGAACTGGGTTGAATTCTCACCGAGGATCGTAGTAAGTTGATATTATCATTTAGGGTGCCGGTAAAAGCACATTTATCGTCTTTAAGAATGATGAATTGGTTGTTTTCTTTCTTAGTGATAAAGTCGTCCTTGAGCAGAATTGTGCCGCCGATCAGACTTCTTTTCAGATCAGGTATGTGTAAACAGTTTTTCAATTGAAAGTGATGACCATCAGGACCCTCAAAATTGACGTCGCCTTTACCAACGATTTTGAGGGTAGCTTTTCCACCTGCCATATCAAGCGAGTCGTTTGAGCCTTCTAAGTCAACATAATTGTCGAAAATATGTTTGTCTTTGAACATATGGTGCAAAGCTGCTGTGTCAATGAGCACTTCAACGTTGTTTGAACGTTGAGTGTTGTTGACGTTAGATAGGGAATGAGCAGAAACATGACTAGCGCAGGGATTCATAGAACTAAAGCATTTTCTAGTTGTTCTATGGTCGGTTCGTCTTTGAAGATAGTGGCTGCTGATGAAGATTGCGATAAGTCCTTTGGTGGGTCACCATTCCATTGTCCTAGCTTCACTCTTTGCTCAATCCACTTGCGCTGAAGGTGTTCGTTTCCGGGTTTCTTGAAACACATGTCAGGATTGTGATTGATACCTGGACATTTCTTCTTAGTGCATTTATTAGGATTTTTGTTTCGAGAATAGGAACTTGAAACATAACTAGCTTCAGCTGAGTGATTGACGACAGGTCTTGCGGTGATTGGGTTCTTGGTAAGCATAGCAACTGCATCCATTCTTTTCTTCAGTTCAGACACAACGAGATCATATTCTTTGAATCCAGCAATAGCAATTTCTTTGGCATCTTGGAAGTAGCTATTGTTTAAAGAAATTAAAAGTTTTCTACCTAAGTCTTCGTCGCTCATAGTTCCACCAGCAGTTTTGTATTTAGTGACTGCATTTTGAAAGTTTTCGATATGAGTTAATAGAGGTAGGTTAGGAGCTTGTACTATCAGACTTAAGGAGCGTTCCAACAATAGTCTCAATTCTTCAGATCTTCCTGAGTGATGAGTAGTGACAGCTTTCCAGAGTTTCGCTGGTAGGTTCTGAGTGTCCGGTCCATCATCTTTGTATATGGTGATTTTGGGCTCGAATCGGGCTCTGTTGATATCGTCCATGTTGTTTAGCATCCAACTGGTAATACAGGCTCTGCTGACTTCATCATCACACTGGCTGTTTTCGAGTTTGATGGAATCGGAGACTAAGTATTCTGAAATGAACATTGATTTTAATCTAGTTCTGATGAATGAAGCCCATAGCATATAGGTTTCATCGGTAAGTTTCTTCAAAGATCTATCAAGAGATTGATTCAGAATCATAGCTTGTTGCTGTGAACTCATTTCAGCCGGTAATGGTAAGACTGAAGACATGGCTGAAGGGTTTGGATTAGGTGGGTTTGGTTGTGTGTTTAGGGATGGTGGTATAAGTGGTGGTGGTCTAAGCGATGATGATATGTTGACTGAAAGGTCAGCGTCGTTGTCTGAATGTTCAGATGCTGGGATAGGGCTGGTCGTTTGTGCGAAAAATTTGTCCGGATTCAGACTCATTCGATAGTTTGGATCGTTTTAAATACTCTCGCTACCATGTGAATGTCTCGAAGTCTGAAAACACGGGTTATAGGAATAAGACCTAATGAAAAGCACGGTGGCTTTGATAAGTACGCTAACAACCAACAAGAAACTAATTGAGGTCTTCTGACCTAATGAAAAGCACGGTGGCTTTGATAAGTACGCTAACAACCAACAAGAAACTAATTGAGGTCTTCTGACCTAATGAAAAGCACGGTGGCTTTGATAAGTACGCTAACAACCAACAAGAAACTAATTGAGGTCTTCTGACCTATAACATCAAACAAGTTGTTAGATAAAAGTTAGAAAGAAAGAAATAGAGATATTATGATAAGTACCTATAAGCAGGTTCAGAATAACAGGTTAGATCTTGTTAGTTCAAGTTATCTCAAGGTTGATAACTGATCTTTGGACTAGCAAAAGAGACACGGAATCTGAAAGATAGAAAGTGAGGATAGAAACGAGTCATATACATATGTTAAATGTTAATTGAACTTGATCATTCATTTTAGTGAAAAAGATAAAAATGTACGTACTTCTCTTCCCAAAGATGGGGAAAAGAGAAGTACTCGAACACAGAGGTTTGTATATAAGAAAGGAAAAATTAAAGTGAAAAGCAATTGGGGCAATGTTAATGATGATCTTATTTCTCATCTGATAACAAGAGAGACTTGTCTGATAATGAAGCTTGCTGTGCTTCTTTCTGGTCTGCGGAATACTGCATTGATCTTGTGAAGTGATTTGTTCAAAACTACTGTTTTCTCTTTTCGTCGATTGGAGTTTTCAACACGTAATATAGCCAGATGTATATGGCCGCAGTAGCGCCTGGTTGCGAATGTGACTGTGGGATTGGGAGTTTGTGGATGTGTCTCGGTTTTTCTGTGACGACCTATTGGAAGGTGTGCTTCTACAATGGATGGTAAGGTAAGATTAGTAAAAGTGGACACCATCTGGATAGGAAACCAGGCAAGTCCATACCAACGAGTCCATTTAGTAGTGATATGAGCTCTTTTCGCTTTGCGGCTTGAACAATTAGTGAGACTGGCTGTTTACGGCCCTTCTTTGTGTTGGGTCTGGGAGGTGGTGCTTGAGTTGATTCAACCGCAAACCTTTCAAGTAAGTGAAGCTCCGTGCGGGCAAAATCGAGCCATGCTGCACAAGATGATTCTTCGTCTTGATATAAAGCATGAGTAGCTTTGGATTCCGGCTTCCATGCAGACATCAATAGGTGGAAATGGAAGCCAAATTTATCGTGAATTTTGAATAACTGAAAAAATGTGCTTGTAAGTATATTAGTGTGCTGATATTATATACATATAGTAATAGCTGATATACCTGTTTGAGAACTTTTTTCAACTCCGCTTTGGCAACCTGTTGAAGATGTTGTATTTTCCCGCTATGTCGGCAGAGAACACCGTGTTTAAAGTCCCATGACACCGTTTGAACGTTGACAAGTCTTTGAAAGTGGGGCATGTATTTATTGATTTGTTCATTGCTGAGTGGTTTGTCTTCCTGGGTGTCTATTGGAGTTGCTTCCTCAGCATCGAGTGTATTGATATTGGCTGCTTCCAAAGTTTGAGTGGAGGGCTCTGGTGTTTCCATGATTTGTTGACACAGACGTTCAAAAATCTTTGGGTGGAACACATCTCGTTCGTCTTGTGAGTAAGCAGTCCATGTGTTGCCTACAAGTTTATTGCGTGCTTTGAAGCCGGTGGCTACGCCTTTGGGCGGCACTGGAACAATTTGAAAGAGTAAAAAGGAATGAGAACGGAATAAGACAAACATGCGGAAAGGTGGTGTAATGATGACAAACTTTTGGCTTGAGTGCTGGTTAAGCTATATGATAGGTAGTTGGTGTACTTATTTGGTTCACGCGCCATCGGTCCTTCGTGTCTGAAAAAGAATGGATGGATCAGTCCATCAGGGATGTATTTGATGCTTGGGTGGTTTACCAACAAAGCTTCATCTAGTGTATTGCGTGTAATGTGGTGAACAATACACAGCATGGTCTTGTCAAGATTGTATTGGGCTTGGAGTGATTGAGCCTCGAACATGGCTGTAGGTGAAGGTCGAGTGGTGGTTACATGTATGCGAGATAGTGTTCGATCCACCTTTGTTTGCCCCCACTCGATGCCAAGGTCGTGATAGTTTTCAATTGTGGGGACCTCAATATCTTTCTTGCAACGCTTGGGCAGTTGTGGATGGCCGGGTGCTGGGTTTTCGTGTTTATCTCCAGACTCGTGGGGTGTATTGGAGTTGTGAGCTGAAAAATCGGATCCTAGTTCGCCTTTGCTGGAATCATGTTCAAAAAGGTTGAGTGTA